AATATACACACACACACACACACACATATATATATATATATATATATATATATATATATATATATATATATATGTAATAAAAGTATCTATCTACTAAATGTGAGAAAATTACGTGAATTAGTGTGAAGAAAAAAAAAAAAAAAATGATGGTCGTTAAGTCGTAGGCTTTAATTGAATTACATCGAACACGTAGTTGGACAAGTCGCGATAATAGAAGTCAAAGTGGACAAAACTCGTTTTTTTTTTTTATTTTTCTTTTTTTCTTCTTTGATTCTTCAAATGAAACATGACGACGACAGTGACGACGAAAAAGAGAGAGAGAAAGAGAGAGAGAGAGAGAGAGAGAGAGAGAGAGATAGGGAGAGAGAGACGAAGAATCGGCTAATAACGATTTTCTTTGGGAACTATCGTTAGCTTTGAAATTGGGCCGAGTGCTAATTAACGTCTAATTAATCGAACTACGTGCGATGGCAGTTTCCAATTACGCTTCTCCGATAGATTAGCCGAGTCTCTTATTGTAGTATCGTCCTATAATATGTTTCGGCTTATTGTAAGTATCACGATTAAGGTTGGCGATCGTCAAATTACAAATTATCGACTTCTCCTTTTTCTTTTTTTCTTTTTCTTCTTTCTTTCTTTTTTGCTTTTTTTTCTGTTACTTTATTTTTATTTATTTATTTTTTTTTCTTTTTTTTTTTTTTTTTATTATTATTATTATTATTCGTACCACCTTCCTTCTCTTCTTCTCCTTATTGATTGTAGCAATAATCTTACTGAGGATCATCTGATTGTATGTAATATAGACGAAAGGGAAAAAAGAAAAAGAATTCTCTATTATCAATGAAAAATTTAATTACATTTTAAATTCGTCCAAGTTTATCGAGTATATTTGAAGTATAAATCGATAAGAGACAAAATTTTGTTTCATCTCACTTATAACGATTAATTATTTTCTACGAATCGATCCATCGTTTTCTACTTTTCTTTTTTTTTCTTTTTTTTTTCTTTCTTTTTTTTTTTTTTTTTTTTATTTTTTTTTTTTATTTTCTTTTCTAACAGAAATAAAACTCAATGATCGGATTTTTTTTTTTTTTTAATCTCATATAATACTTATACTTTATGCAAAAAATTACTCCATAAAATTTGTCAATACGTCCTTGTATTAATCGCGACTACTCATAATACATTAATTATCATAGGGCCGCGTTATAATATTTTTTTTTTATAAATGCAACAAAATAGATGTTGTATTAAAACTTATAAAAAAATAATAAAAAAATATTATCTATAAATTTTTTGAATATAAAATATATATATATATATATATATATATATATATATATATATATATTAGGTTGGAAATTATGAAACGGGCGTTTTTGTTTAGTTTTTTATTTTCATTCAACGCCCGTTTCATAGTTTCCAACTAACAAAACAATTATCGATCATAATCGAGGAGTAAGAGGATCAATCGTTTGAATCAAAGCGTTCGATTTGTTCCTTCGATTTATTTTTTCACGTTTGATCGATTAAAAAGCGTAGGAGAAAAAGAAAAAGAAAAAAAAAAAAAAGAAAAGAAAATAAAAAACGTAAAAATTCCATAGAATTTCATTATCATTCACAGCAATAAAAGTGATTTAATTCCATTAGCGTGTATACGATGAAAAAAAAAGAAATTTACTATATTTTTTTTCTCTCCTTTACTTCTTTTTTTTTTTTGTTTTTGTTTTTACAGTACCCCACCACCCTCCCTTCTCCATACTTTTCTTTTTTTTTTAACTTTTTACTTTTTTTTTTTTTTTTTTTTGTTTTTTTTTTTTTTTTTTTAATTTTCTTATTTCCCTCTAATGTAACCTGCGTGACAACGTTCAACTATGATGATGATGATTGCATGCCCGTTCTGGCAATTAGTGCCAACCGGTGTACGGGTATCGTCGATTGATAAAATTGTTAAATCGAGCAGGACCGTGGAGGTAAATCGACTGCTATAGGCTGCTCTCGTGGCTTCAAACAAGGAGGGTCGAGAGTATCGTAATTGGAGGGTCGTTGTCGGTACTAGACCTTCAAATTCGATTGCAACTCTCTCCCTGCACCCCCACTACACCTCTATTCCATTCCACCTCTTCCCTCCTCTTTACCTCCCCACCATGTTCCCTACTACCATACCCGTCCTCCTACCATACCACCACCCCCTCCCCCATTACTTTTCCACTCTCGTTTTTTGCGGTCCAGAGTTATACTCCATCAAAGTTAATACGCTCACTCTGCCTTTGGATACGTAATACACGACTACATACATACATACATACATACATAGATACATATATACATACATATGTACATCCATTATTTGGTTTTATTTTCTCTTTTATTTATTTTCTTTCTATTTTCAATTTTTTCATTTCAATATTTTCTTTCTTTTTTTTTTTTTTTTAGTGTTCTTTATTCGTCATTACTTTCTCACCCCGTGCAATCACTGTTTTTGTAACTGCTACTACGTTTCATTTTTTGTTGTGTTCTCTTAATTTTCTTTTCTTTCGTTTCTTTTTCTTTTTTTTTTTTGTTTTTCTTTTTTTTTTTTTTTTTTTTTTTTTTAAAGCAGAAGCTCGAAATAAATTATTCAATGCAACTCGATCGGTTATTTCTAATTAATTCTAATATCTGCATATATGTGTGTATATATTAATTATTATAGAAACTCAAAAGATAAATTAAAAATTTCATCCATTATTTTTTTTTATCATCGAATATGTGCATTAAAATACAACGTGTGATTATTAAAAATAATAGATATTAGGAAATATAAATATATTATATAATAATTAATGTAAAAATTCAGTGATATATATATATATATATATATAATTTTTTTTATTACTTTTTTTTATTATATATATATACACACGCATATCATACATTATATTTATATTATATAAAGTAAAAGAAAAATAAATAAAATTATATATACATATATATATATATATATGAATTATTTGAAAAAAAAAAGAAAAAAGGATGATAAAATAATCGCACACTTCAACTTCGCAACTTTTCAATTTGAAAATGATGATAGGTCTAAAAAAAAAAAAAAAAAAAAAAAAGAAAAAGAGGAAAAAAAGGAAAAAGAAAAAAAGAGAAAAAGAAGGAGAAAAAGAAAAGTACTTTTACTGATAAGATCGAGCCAAAGAGATTATTTAAATATAGTAACGGCCTTGTGTGCCAACTACTCGGACCTCTTCTATTGTTCCTCTCTAGAGTCTTAACGACCATGATACAAAGGAGAAAGACCGCGCTAAGTTTACGCTTCGATAACCGTTCAAACTTTGTTGAACTTTTTACTCAGCTTTTCTCCCTCCGTCGTCTCTCAGATCTAGAATAGAAAGAGACAGGGAGAAAGAGACAGGGAGAAAGAGAGAGAGAGAGAGAGAGAGAGAGAGAGAGAGAGAAAAGAGGAAAAGCTTGACGGAAGGGTGGAAAATAAGATGGTGTTGATGGGGGATAAGGAGGAAGGGAGAAAAGAGAGGTGAAAGGATCTGAAAGGTGGTAACTCGTATACCGAATTGATATCATTTTCTGTCTTACACGTTTCTTTCGACAGAAAGACGAAAACGAAACTTTTGAAAATGCAATAGAAATATTATATTTAATAATATAGTTGTTGTATTATATTCTCCATCATTTTTAATCGTTAGGATCTTTTTATCTTTTGCAAAATGAGAAACGTTATTTTGTCGAGCGTTTCAATAGAAACAAAAAAGACGTGATAGGAGAAAAAGTTTTCTTTTAAAAATAAAAAGATATTTCGATGTCGTCGAATTGTGACTTTTTGCATTTTAAGGTTCATCAGTATTTTTTGTTTTTCTTTTATTTTTTTTGTCTTTTTCTTTCTTTTTTGGTCCACTTTTTTTCCTTTTTTTCTGTTTTTTTTTTTTTTTTTTTTTTTCTTTACGTTGACACTTTGTGTACATCTACAATGTGTGTACAATGTGTGCGTATGTGTATTTATAATAAAAAAAAATTCTAACAACGATAATAATAGTTAATAATTAAATTTGTCATTTGTAGGTTTATAATGTTTTTTTTTTCTTCTGTTTTTCTTTTTTTTTTTTTTTTTATTAGCTTTCGTTTATAATATAATAAATGTATAATAATTTTAACAATTAAAATTGTACTGTACAATTTCTAACAAAATTTATTTCATAAGGTAATTAAAAAATTTCACAATTTTTAAATATATTAATAATTATCGAACTTGCAAATATGTAATATTTATTTAATTCTAAATAGTAATAATAATATATCTAAAGAATAAATATATTTAAAGAATATTTATGAAAAATCAAATCCATTTCATAATAACGCAATAAGAAAAATATTTCTTTTCCTTTCCTCTTTTTTCTTTTTCTTTTTTTCTTTCTTTTTTCTATTTTTTTTTTTTTTTTTTTTTTTTTTTTTTTTTTTACTTAATCATTGATTCATAATTTCTTTTCATTAGTCCGTTTATCCAAAGAAACGATAAACGCTAATATACATAATTAATAAAATTTCTTTCGTATCAATACAAGTATGAAATTTTCTATTCTAATCTTTCTAATCCTTTAATAATTATTTCCAAAAGCAAATTAGACACGTCTATCCATTTTTTTTTTTTTTTTTTTTTTTTTCATAAATATACTCATATCATATCCAAGAAGAAGAAGAAGAAGAAGAAGAAGAAGAAGAAGAAAAAAAAGGAAAAATAAAAGAAAAAAATTTCAATCATCATACAAATAAATCGTTCTTCTTTTCTCTTTCTTTTTCTTTTTTTCCTTTCTTTTTTCTTTTCGTTCTTTTTTTTCTTTCTTTTCTTTTTTTCCGTATTCCAAGAATAGGAAAAATACTGAAAATCGTCGTCGTAGTCGGTTGTTCGGCGAATTTTACGAGATAACTGTATAAGATAGGTACAGCATTCAATCCTAAGGGAACAGTTACGATCATAGCCCATTAAACGTGTGTTGCAGTTGCGGGAATACACTCTGACGGAGACCTATCACGAGGACGACGTCGAGGTCGAGTTCGTAAGCAATGACAATCTACTATCAAGCAATCCGACCCCAAGAGGAATCGATCCGAACAGAGACCTAAACGAGGCCATAGCGGAGGAACGAAGGGAAATGGACACTCAGAGATACAGGTAGAGACCATCTTCCTCGACTCCTCTATCCTTCTATCCCCTCCCCCTTTCTCTCTCTCTCTCTCTCTCTCTCTCTCTCTCTTCCTTTCCTTCTCAAACTCATTTGTTCTAGTCTTATTTTTTTTTTTTATGAGCAATAAATAACTAAAGAGTAAGATCTTGAATAATCGTCGTCGATTTTTTTTCATCAATGAATCTCTCTTTTTTTTTTTCTTTTTTTTTTAATATCTTAAAATATTTTATCATTTTCTCTCTCTCTCACTCTCACTCTCTCTCTCTCTCTTTTTTTTTTTCTCTCTCTCTCTCTCTCTCTCTCTCTCTCTCTCTCTCTCTCTCTCTCTCTCTCTCTCTCTCTCTCTCTCTCTCTCTCTCTCTCTCTCTCTATATATATATATATATCTCTTTTTTTCTCAGTCTTTATCGTTATATTTCTCTGTCTTTCTTTCTTTCCATACTTCTCTATCTTTATCTATCTTTTACCTAGTTTCCCCGTCTCTCTCTCTCTCTCTCTCTCTCTCTCTCTCTTTTCGTCAATTTCTATTTCTATTTCTCTTATTTTATCTCGATTTATCTCGATGAGAACTCTTTAGAAGAGAACTGCAACGGTGCATATAACACTCTTTGAGAATCACGGATAAAAGGAAGGATTTTGAGAGAAAATGTCGGGCGTCTCTATGGCGGTTCGTGCGTCTGTTTTCTTGCACAAACTCATTCTTTCTTTCTCTCTCTCTCTCTCTCTTTTTCTCTTTCTTTCTCTTTCTTTCTCTCTCTTTCTTTCTCTTGGGTGACTACGAAAGTACGGTTAGTAGTTTGGTCGTCGTTGTCGTCGTTGTCGTCGTTGTCGTCGTTGTCGTTCGAAAACAGTCCGAAACTTTTACTCGGTAGAATCGTGCGGAACGAAAAGAAGGAGAAAGAAAAATAAGAATAAAAAAGGATTGAGAAAGAAGAAGTAGAGGAGGAAGAAGAAAAAAGAAAAGAAGAATAGAGTAGAAGGTGGAAACGTGATTTCTCTCGAAATCGACACGGTTCATGGAACGTTATATTTCTCTTTTCTTTCTTTTTTCCTTTCCTTACTTTTCCGTATCTTTTTTCTCGTTTCAAACGTAACGAAAAACATTTTTCTAATGAGATGCGAAATTTCTTTTTTTTTAACCCACCCCCTCCCCTACCCCCCCCCCCACCCCCGCCCGCCCCATTTTCTCTCTTCGACATTCTCATTTCTTTCTCTAGAAGATAATTAACCCGATCGAGTAAAGTTATAACGCGACCCAGGGAACATTCGCGAAGGATTTCGTTGAGATGTCCGTTTATGAGAAAAAAAAAAAAAAAAAAGAAAAAAGAAAGAAAGAAAGAAACAGAAAGGAAGAAAAAGAAGAACTCTTAAACGACGATCAATTTCGACGATTGCAAATTCGAAGATCGACGAATCGTGAATTCCGTAGATCGATGATGATTAGATTGAACGCGTTACTTCTTTTTCTTTCCTTTTTCTTTCTTTCTTTTGTTTTTTTTTTTTCTTTTTTTTATTTTTTTTTTCTTTTTTCTTTACTTTTGCCTTTTTTTTCTTTTCCTCCTTATTCCTCGATATTCCTTAACTCAAATGATTACTCTCGTCCTTTCCTTGGCCCTCGCGTGTAAAACATCAAAGAACGAAAGACGATATCGTTAAATTCTCCTCATAGAACTTTCTTCCCTCACATAGTTATCGATATTATCAAGAACAAAGGTCCTTCAGTCATGCAAGCGGAAGAAGACAAGAAGGGAGAAAGAAAGAGAGAAAAAGAGAGAAATAGAGAGAGAGAGAGAGAGAGAGAAATAGAGAGAGAGAGAGAGGAAGAAAGAAAGAAAGAAAGAAACAGAGACAGTTGCTCCAAAGATACTCCTGTAAAGTGCACTGAGACAGCTTCAATGGACTCTCTCAAAGAGGTTTTGAAATAGGACTTCATCGACTAAACAGCTTGGAAAGAGTGACTTCAACCCCTTCTCAAAAACCCCTTTCATCTCTCTCTCTCTCTCTCTCTCTGTTTCTGTCTCTCTCTTTCTCACTCTCTTCTTCTTCTTCTTCTCTTTCTATCTTGAATAAAGAACCAACTCTCTTGCATACATATGCGAAAAAGTATCTTCTCTCTCTCTCTCTCTCTCTATCTCTATTTATCTATCTTTCTCTCTGTTTTTGTCTCTGTCTCTCTTTATTCAATTGAACTTTCTTCGCCTCACCCACGCCTTTTCACGTCACGCGATAAAATTTCTCTCTTTTCTTTACGCTAACACCCTCTCTCTTTCTCTCTCTCTCTCTCTCTCTTTCTCTCCCTCTCTCTCTCTTTCTCTCTCTCTCTCTCTCTCTCATTAGTGTATGTACGCGCATGCGTTCCTACCTTTCGAATTCAATTCTCAAATTTTTGTTCATTTTATTTTTTATCATAAGAATACTATTTCATTTCTCAAAGATCTTCTTGCGTTTCATTGTCATCGTTACGATTTGATGATTTATTTATTATTTATTATTTATTATTTATTATTTATTATTTATTCGTATACGTATTGACGAAACGAATTATTCCGTATGCCTCACGTTTCTTCGTAAAATGGAATTTTCTTTTCCTAATTTCTTTTTTCCTCTTTTTTTTTTTCTTTCTATCTTTTTTTTTTTTTTTTTTTTTTTTGATAAAAGTACTTTCAGTTCCTCACAACAATCGAAATTCACATTACCAAAGGAGAATATACTTGTTTTTTTATTGGATAGGATCTATCACGTCTATTGTTGCAGAATATGCTTGGTAAGAATCGCGATCGATTATCGTAAAACGTAATCTTATCATCATTGTAAAAATAAAGTGGTGCTTCTTTTATATTGTACGTATGTGTGTGTGTGCGTATGTGTGTGTGTGTGTGTGTGTGTATGTGTGTGTGTACGTATACGCGTATATATATATATATATATTTTTCTTTAATAGTCGAACGTGTACGATATATCCAAATCGATGTTTCGATATGTGTATAACGATATTATTATACTTTCTTCGATAAAATCTTATACATATATGTATATCGCGTATATAATATATATATATATATATATATATATATATATATATATTTAGTTTATCTTCAAATTGCTATTACACAAAAATTATTCATTTTATTTAATAATAATTATTTATTAATTTCTTTTCGCTGAAAGATTTAACACCATATTATTTCATTTCCGATGAAATCATCGTACATAGGTATATTTATTTATATATACATATATATATATAATAATTTTTTTTTTTCTATTACGAATTCTAACGTCGCTTAATTTATAATAATTTCAAATATTGGAATAATAAAAAGCATTTGAAAGAAAATTCTAACGCCATTTCACTTACAAAAATATTTCGTGACTCGTAATACAATGTAAAATTGTAAAAGACAAAAGGAAAATGAATAACAAAGAAAAGTGAGAAAATTTTGCATTTAAAAAATACAAAATAGAACAAACAACGATCTATACATTTGACACTTATACATACATATATATATATATATATATATATATATATATATATATTTAATATCGTTTTATATGATACATTGAATGATTCATTAGAAAATAAAACTATATTATCGATTCAGTTATTTCTACGATCAAAACGACACGAAGAAGTTAATCGAAGAAATCACATAGAAAATCTCAAGGGACAGTAACCTCGAGCGATCCATAAAGCATAAACTCCCCCTGCAATACTACATATAAATACACACATACACATATCATACATATACATATATATATATATATATATATGTGCACCATATCCGTGTATTAAACCTCTCTCCTTATCAGTGTAATATCCGACACGTTATCCACGACAGGACCGATAAAGCTCGTACTCGATCATATCGAAGATCGATGCGAAGTCATACCTATGAAATATAATTGTGAACCAAGTCCCAATTCGCATTTTCTCTCGATGATATTAAATTGTACATCTTGAAAAGAATACTGTATTTTATACAGATAATATAATTAAAAAATTGTAATAATTTGTAAATCTACATACATACGTAAATGGATATATATAATCAAAAGTATAATTATTTTTAATTACTTAATAATATTGTATTTTGAAAATATTTTTAAAGTATAGGGAACCGTTCTATTTATTTATTTATTTATTCTTTTTTTTTTTTACAAATAATAGTATTATTTTTTTTTTCAAATAATATAAATATAAATATAATAAACACACACACACACACACACACACACATATATATATATATATGCAAATACAATAAAAAATAATAAACATCAAAATACAAAAAAAAGTATATACTATATACTATATTAATACTATTATATAAAAGAAATAATGCAGCTAGAATAATATACTAATTGTTTTTCAAACTTCACAACAAAATCTTAAACATGCGAACACTAACAATTTGAAAATATTATTATTATTATTATTATTATTATTATTATTGTTAAAGATCTTTATATAAAAAAAGAAAAAATCTAAAAGAAAAGGAAGATAAAGAAATAAATGGATATTATCGTAGATATACATAGTCGATCGAGTCTAGGTTATTAACCTTTTTATAAAAAGGGAGAACGTCGATAGAAAACAGATCACTTATATTCTATCCTTATCTCATGCGATGCAATATAAGGATCACGAAGTGGACCCTTATCCTATCTGGTTCGCAAAGATGCATGGTATATAACAGTCTAACATAAAATTTTACGATCATTGCCAATATCAGTTAGTATGAAGTGTTCGAATCTCTCTTTTCTTTTCTATCTTATATATTTTTATTTTTAACCTTTCAAAAATAAACCTTTGGAAAAATTTCGATCTATATATATATATATATATATATATATAGGAAGAGTCTAAAAATCGTGTGAAAGCACCACACTCTGTTCTTTATTTTCTCACTCTTTTCTCTATTTTTCTCACTCTATTCGATAGTTGTACTGAAAGTGAAGGGCCTAAGGGTTACTTTTTCTC